AAAAACAACATGAGCGGCTGGTTCCCCGGGTGAATGACAGCGGCGTTGCACCAGCTTTCTCTCGCTTGGTCAAGGAGCTGGAGAAAATCCGCGTCACACACACACACGCACGAACACGCACACGGACACACACATGAACGCGAATACGAACATACACATACATACACACAAGCGAGCACGAACATATGCACGTATACATACAAACACGAACATGTACACATAAACATACGAACACGAACTTATACACATAAACGCACGCCAACACGAAAATATACACATAAACACACACGAACGCGAACATATACACATAAAAACACACACACACAAACACAAACACAGACATACAGTCACAAACTTAAACACACAAGCACACTCATATATACACACGCACTCACAAACAGACACATATTTCCCCGAAATTGTCGTTGGTTAAACTCTTTTCTATCTAATTATCATCTATTTCCTTTTCATCGTGATTCCTGTTTTCACTATTTTTTATTGAGTCCTCTTATAAGCATAATGTCATTTCTATCTAATATATCTTTCGGTAAATATAATTGCGTCTTTCTTGGATAAATCTTTTAGTATCTATATTTCCAACGTTTTATTTAATCTATATGAAAGCGATTGCAATGTCACATTCTTTCTGATATAAACGACGTTGTATCATGTAATTGGAGATCAACACAAGAGATAATAATTGTAAGAGATATAAAGAGAAAATCGCCAAGTTATTTTTACAGTTATGAAAGTTACGACAGTCCTGCTTCTCGTCGCAAAGCGCTTATGAAAACGAAGCCCGATTTGTGTCAACTGCCAAGAAAACAGGAGCTCAGACTCTCACGCAGCTGCTCCTAACTTGTGCTCTCAGACACCTTGTACTTTCTTCGGGAATTATGTATATCCACATACAGATCTTTCTGTGTATGTGTGTTTTTCTCTCTCTTGCTTTCTCTCTCTCTTGCTTTCTCTCTCTCTCTCTCTCTCTCTCTCTCTCTCTCTCTCTCTCTCTCTCTCTCTCTCTCTCTCTCTCTCTCTCTCTCTCTCTCTCTCTCTCTCTCTCTCACTCTCTCCCTCACTCTCTCTCTTTATCTGTATCTATCTGTTCACACACACACACACACACACACATACATACATACATATATATATATATATATATATATATATATATATATATATATATATATATATATATAAAGTTTCCCTTACACTCCTTCCATATTATCATATTTCTCACAAACTCACACATTCTCATCCCTTCACACACTCCCAGGAACCACTACTTCCCTCCCCCCCCCCTTGATTCTCGCCAGCCCCCACCCCCTCCCAAGAAAGAGAAGAAAAGAGTCAATGAGTTTCTAACCGGAAGTATTTAGAGGGAAAATAACCGTCTGGGACCTAATGGCTTGCAGGAACCACCTATTTTGCAAAGCCAAGAAGTATCTTTCTATCTCTTGTTTCTTTATAGCGCGAGGTCTTTTGGCTTATGGAATTAGAGGCAAAAAAGGTTTAGAGAGCAAATTATCCCACGGGTGCGATGTGCGTTCCGATATTGATCATTTTGCCCAGCTTGTTCTGAATGACGATGGTTTTTTATTAGTTTTATTCATACGTATATGTTCTTTTCATTCTACATTTTTTTCCTTTCGGCGATATCTGGTTCATAATTACGACGTTTGGGATTATCCATTTTCTCATTTTTCTTCTATATACATTTAATAATACAATATAATTTTCTTTCAAGAATATCCCTATCTACCTTTCTCAGAAAATTGAAAAAAAGAAAAATAGCAACAAGACAACATCTTAGAGCAATAACTGATAACGATAATTCTCAATCGTAATTCTTGCTACATTAAACTCATTCGTAACTTTTTTGTACATTTATTAACACTGACTCCGCGTGGCGTCGGTCGTCACGTGCCGCCGACACCGCCTCGTGCGTGCGCGCGCGATCGCTTTCGAAACGGTGCCACGATCCTCGCGTCGCCTCCGCCGGTCGCCGTTCCGAGTTTCCTTTGTTTCCCTTTTTCTTTTTTGCGCTCTGCCACGCGGAGGTATACGCACTGACACACGTACACGCACATGCACAGGTACACTAACATGACGCACGCACACACCCGTGTAAACAATGACACACGTACATAAACACACATGCACGCGTAAACACACATACAAACAAACACACATGCACGCGTAAACACACATGCAAACAAACACACACGTACATAAACACACATGCACGCACGCGTAAACACACATGCAAACAAACACACACGTACATAAACACACATGCACGCACGCGTAAACACACATGCAAACAAACACACACGTACATAAACACACATGCACGCACGCGTAAACACACATGCAAACAAACACACACGTACATAAACACACATGCACGCGTAAACACACATGCAAACAAACACACACGTACACACACATGCAAACACACATGCAAACAATAGCACGCGTAAACACACATGCAAACAAACACACACGTACATAAACACACATGCACGCGTAAACAAACACACAAACACGCACACGCACCCACGTACACAAAGACATCGAAAGAACTTGTTTCTTGATGAGTTTCCAAGGTGACCTTAACCCCCTCCCCCTCCCCCTCCCTCCCCCGCCTGCCTTCGCCCTCCAACCTCTTCTTTTTCTTCAGCGTTCATTCTTTTCCTTGTCTTTCCTTAACCCCCTTTGTTTTTCCTTTTCTTTACCCCTTCCTTACCTCTCCCTACGTCCCCCTTTCCCCTCTCCTTTTTGTTGTCTCCCTCCCCTTCCCCTTTTTCTCCCCTGCTACTCCACCCTTTCCCCTTCCTGCCTCTGCTTCTTATCCTCTTACCCCCCCCCCTTTCTTAACCCCCTTTTCTCTCACACCTCCACCTCCCCTTCCTACCCAACTATCCCCAACCTCTCCCAACCCCTCCTCCCCCTTTCCTCACCCTCGTCCCTCCAGTCCCCCCCCTCCCTCCCCCTTTAACCCCCTAACTTCTTGCGTAGGCGACCCCCCCCCCTCCCCCTCCCCACCAGCTGCCATGACCTGCACATACCTCTCTCTGACTCAAGCGCGACGCCCGTTTTCTTTGGCTCTCTCTTTTTCTATCCCCTCCTCGTTTTCTGTCGCTGTCTCGTTTCCTTTCTTTCACTCTCTCTTTCTCTATTCCTTTTACGTTTTCTACCTTTCGCTCTCTTCTTATGTTCTTTTGTCGTTTTCTGTCGCTGTCTCGTTTTTTTCTCGCTCCCGTGTTCTTTCGCTTTCGTTTTCTCTCTCCCGTTTGCAGATCACGTGGAGGATAATGTATCACAGGCATGATTTCGTGCACACACACACATACATATATACATCGTTATTTCTATTTATTAATTCATTTCCTATTTTACTTTCTCAGCACTTAATAACGAAAAAAAGAATAACAAATTTTACGACCGTCAAACAACAAAAATCACAGCTTCGTTTCACAACCTGCAACTTGCAACACTGCGTTCCATAGCAAGCCAGCGCGGACTCAGTGTCGCAAATGTGAATGACCTGAGTGTGAAGTGAGGCCTAAAAAAGTGTGTCACCCTTGCAATATGGTCATATTTTCTTTGTTATTGAGATTCGGGACGCGGGGAAGGGGTAGGTGGGAGGGGAGGGAAGGGGGGACGGGGGAGGAGAAAAAGGGTGGAGGAAGGAGAGAAAAAGATAGAAGAAATCTATTTCATTTCAGAATATTAGAGCGAGGGAGAAGGGAAAATAGGAAAAGGAGGTGGGGGGAGAAAGAAGGAAAAGGGAAAATTATTGAAGGAAAATTAACATTCCTATTAGGTTATTAACAGGAAGAAAAAAATCAGCCAAAAAGCATCATCCGACAAGTCCTCCCATACCATTCTAATTTGGGAATTTGTCATAATTTTTTACTTCTTTTTTCAATAATTTCTCTCTCTTTTGGCATTATGAGCGAAGTGAAGTTTCAGCTGTCATCAGCGGTTCTTTCCGGCTGTTCCTTCTGCTGTCTGTCTCCTCTCAATCACACAGCTGTCTTTTTCTTTAAGCTGTGGTTGATTCTGTGGCGATTAACTCAGAGCTTAATAACTCAGCTTAAATTGCAACATAATCTTGCTTTGGAGATCTTGCTTGCTTTTTATCGTGTTATTGTTTCATTTTTTGTCTTTGTGCCTACTAATTAACTTTTCGTTATTATTATCAGTATTATCATTGGCACTGTTACCATAGCGTTGTTAACAGCAATGTCAATGTCATTGTAATTTGACTAATAAAGCTTCAATATAAACTTAGTTGCCATAACAGCTTCAGCATAAACTCATGTTCGTTATATATCCTTCCACTTTTACAAACTTTGATTAAACTCTACTTAATCTACTCTAAATTCTTCTTTTACTTTTCCTCAATGCCCATGTTACAGTAACTGACAAAAAAGCTATTAACTTCTAATTCGCAATATCTGTATCAGCTTTATTAACCCTGCTGAGTATGAAAGCATTTTAATGATTATCACAACAGCTTTGATGTAATTATGCTGGTATATAGGAATTTGAAAAAAAAAATTACATCGGTTTAACTAATAACAGCAATCATTAACAGTGTAACAGCCGCTTTGATATTTTTTCCTACTTAGAGATCATTGAGACCATAACAACTGCTTAAAAAGTAAGATGATTGTGAGCTGAGCAAATAACTATTGCCTTGATGGTATAATAATGCTATTATTTATTGTATCATAACCCCACTAAATGATTGCTAATTTCGTTTAGGGAATAATGCGTACATGCCATTTTGCAATTGCACGCAGCAGCTTCAGCCAGCCTTAAATACTCATGTCTCCAATGCCGTTCATGCAGGCAACCCGCCATGAGTGCGCACGCCTTGGCTTGCCTCCCGCATGACGAAACGAAGCATGTTGCCTTCGGTTTTGTTTTATTCTTTTTCATTATTAACTCTTTCTCTTCCTTTCCCCTTTCCCTCTGGCCTCGCGCAGGCGCCCAGGAATCGTCCGTCGCTCTCGAAGGACCCGGGAACTTCGTGTGTCCTCACGAGTTCGGTTTCTACGCCCACGAACTCTCCTGCGACAAGTACTACTCGTGCGAGGCCGGCGTCCCTACCCTGAAGGTCTGCGGCAACGGCCTGGCCTTCGACAACAGCGACCCCGAGAACCTGAGAGAGAACTGCGACTACAGCCACAACGTCGACTGCGGTCTTCGCACCCAGCTCGGTACGCCGGGAGACACCCATAGCACCACGGCGGCGCTAACCCAGCCTGATACCGGTGCTGCATAGCCTTGCTACATCACAGCCAGATAACCCAATCTGATACTACAAGGACGCGGTGTTCTGCCAGTATCTTTACACTGATACATCGACAAGAGAAACAAATTGGCTCCTCATTTCACCATCTTCCAACCCCACTCAACCTCGGTTTTGGGCAATTTTCACGGCACCTTACACAGTCTGTGCGACATGCGAACAAATTCCACAGGAACAGAACAGCTAACTGGTGATTGGTGGTCATTGAATACCCTCGGTGCAATGATATTGTCTTTTCTTGCACATGTATTTTTTCTTTCTCCTCCCCCTCTGGCACCTTCTCTTCTATCCAATTTATGTCACAGGTGTTGGTTGCTCTCTGGTGTTATCATAATACATATTTTATTCGACATGTACGCGAGTAGCCCTTTCTACAGATAGCCTTCTCACGGTATAGACAAGGTAACACATTCACAGGTTCCACGGATGGGGGAAGTAGCACAGTAATAACCTCATTCCACTACAGCAGCAGCAACGACCATTCAGCCTCTTAAGTGGTGGTATTCTTTCATGTTTTCCTTTGTCCTCTTCTTGTCTTCTTCCCCTTCTCCTCTCATATGCACAATCCCACTCGGTATCACTCTCTAATAACGGTGACGGTTCTGGAACGGGCACAGGAATGGCTCAGAGTGACATAGTCTACGAGGACTTCCTGTGTCCCAAAGACGATGGCTTCTTCCCTCACGAGACCCAGTGCGACGCCTACTGGAGCTGCAAGGACGGCGTCCCGGAGTTCAAGCTGTGCGGGAACGGCCTTGCCTTCGACGACACCAACGACCAGTTCGAAGATTGCAACTACATCTTCACCATCGACTGTACCAACCGCACTGAGCTGGGTAGGCCTAGTCCAAGAAGCCGGCGGAAATATAAGAAGACAGCGACGTGCCTGTTTTTTTTTTTTTTTTTTTTTTTTTTCTTTCTTTCTCTAGTCACTCAGTCTTTTGTTTTTGCATGCATGTAGTTGTAAAAAAAACCTCTCACTTACATGCTCCCTTGTACAAAGAAATACACAATACAAAGGCTGCAGACATCAAAATACAAGAAATCAATCGTATTATGGTATCTACCAATCATGAACCATATCTGAAATTGAATATACACTCCTATATATCCCTTTCGACTCGGAAATCACGGACGAGTCTTAACACCTACCGCCTCACCCTGCAGAACCCCCCATCTCCACCCCCCACTGCCCCAACCTGTACGGAATCTTCGCTGACCCTGACGACTGCTCCGTCTTCTGGTCCTGCTGGGACGGTGAGGCCTCCCGCTACGCTTGCGCCCCCGGCCTGGCCTACGACAGGAAGTCCCGCGTCTGCAACTGGATGGACAACATTCCCGAGTGCAAGCAGCAGAGAGGTAAAGCCTTTTCGTATGGCGGGATAAAAGAACTAGATTGTTGGATTTGTATATGCATGTACATATAATCATACATGTAGATATTTGTGCATGTGGATAGATTGATAACCTAACAGAAGGAGAGAGAAACAGAAGTAGAAAACGTAAGAAAGAGAGCGCGAGAGAGAGAGAGATTATAAGAAATCTCTCACTCCTTTCCTCCCTTCCTTCCTTCTTTTTCTTTCCCCTTCTCTTCACCTCCAAGTTCCTCCTCGGTATTAACCAGCCCCTTCCCCCTTCCTTCTTCCCCCCGCAGACGCCATGCAGCAGGACTTCGTGTGCCCCGCCCCAGGAGAGCTCGTGGCCACCGGGTCCTTCAGCCGCCACCCTCACCCCGACGATTGCCGCCAATACTTCATCTGCATCGACGGCGTCGTCCGCGAGTACGGCTGCCCCATCGGCACCGTGTTCCAGATCGGAGACGCCGACGGGCTCGGGAAGTGCGAGGACCCCGAGTTCGTTCCCGGATGGTAAGTGGAGACAGCCTCTGGCGTGGGTCTTTCCCCTCCTTTTTCTTCCTGTGGGGGAAACGTGCAGTGGTTCAAGATGGCATTCAGTGTCCCAGAAACGAGAGAGGGAGGAAGACAAAACAACAACAAAACGGCTCCCTCTCTCGTTCAGTATCCCAAAAACGAGAGAGTGAGACCCAACACAAAAACTCCCTCTCTCGTTCTTTTTAAAATTTGGACATGGGATGTACAACCCAAAATACCATACGTTATGCCCCCTTTCCACGTCTGATTGCATCACTGTATGCCCCTCGGAAAAAGACTTCGGTTATCTCTTTCAACTTTTCTTTGGAGTGATCACTTAGAGAATCAATTAACATAGATATTCCCATTTTCACCTTGTTAATCGTGGGTCATACTAGTTCGTGTTTTATGTCTGTTTTCTTGTTTGAAAGATCTCCCTTCAGACTCTCCTGGACATAACTTCGCACTTGCATGGAAATGGTACCATAGAAATTAGCAAGCAAGAGATTTTTTAACATTCAGCATTTTCAGTTTAGACAATTTTATTGCACATTTCTTTAGTAACAAAAGCGAGTTGCAATGCACTGGATACAGAGGTGCATGTCCTAACTTCCAAACATGATTCACTTGTTACTTACGGAGGATTGGTTACTGGGCGATCTTTGGCTTCCTGCGTCATCTCTCTGAGATGCCTGTGTCTGGGGGTCTGTGTGAAACGGCTTCTTGTCTTTATTCTGTTTTCTGACGTGTCTTCTCATCTCTCTGCGATTCTGTATTTGTCTCTTTCTTTCTACTCTGTCTTTGTTGTTCGTCTCTCTCTCTCTCTCTCTACACACCACACACACAACACACACCACACACACACACACACACCACACACACACACACACACACACACTATATATTATATATATATATATATATATCACACACACTTCTCTCTCTCTCTCTCTCTCTCTCTCTCTCTCTACACACACACATATAGTATATACTTCTCTTATATATATATCTCTCTCTCTCTCTCTCTCTCTCTCTCTCTCTCTCTCTCTCTCTCTCTCTCTCTCTCTCTCTCTCTCTCTCTCTCTCTCTCTCTCTCTCTACCTCTCTCTCTCTCTCTCTCTCTCTCTCTCTATATTATATATATATACATATATATATATATATATATATATATATATATATATAATATATTATATATATATATATATAATATTATATATATATAATATATATATATATATATATATATATATATATATATATATATGTATATATGTATATAATATATATATATATATATATATATATTATATATACTTATGTATCTCTCTCTCTCTTCTCTCTCTCTCTCTCTCCTCTCTCTCTCTCTCTCTCTCTCTCTCTCTCTCTCTCTCTCTCTCTCTCTCTCTCTCTCTCTCTCTTCTCTCTCTCTTCTTTAACTCCCTTTCTCCCTCCCCTTTCTGTTCTTCTCCTTTGTTTATTCTATTTCCTTGTACCAGTTCCATATCTCATTTATCCATCACATTCCGGATTGCAGATGTCACACATAAATAAAATCATTTACCATAATAACTTTCATGCAGATATAACTGATACAAGGAAAGGTTCTCTACGTTCCTTCCGAGAATCTCACAACCCCCTCACAACGTCCTCATAAAGCCCCCCCCCCTTCCAAAAAAGCCAAAGGTTCCTCATATCAACCCCTTATGAGACGCAGATCTCTCCCCCACCCCTGTCCCTCCTTTCCTCCCCCCCCCCCTCATAACACTTTTTTATGAGCTCCCAATAACACTTCCCCAACCCCCATCCCTTCCGATGTCTCTCTCTCCCCACTTCACCCCCTCTCCCCATCACACCCTTCTCTCTCCCCACCACACACCCCCTTTCTTCTCTCTCCCCCAACCCACACCCCTTCTCTCTCCCCCACCACACCCCCTTTCTCCCCCCACACCCCGTCTTCTCCCCACCACCCTTCTCTCTCCCCCACCTCACCCATGACTGTGTGACCCCCACTAGCGAGGACTACTACGGCGATCTCGACCTCGCTGCTATTCGCGGAAGCCAGCTGCTCCTTGGGAACTTAGGCCTCCAGAATGCCGGAAATGCAGCCCGGTCCCGACGCCCTTCAGCAACAGCAGCAGGAGCAGCAGAAACCCCTGCTGAAACCCAAGCCTAAAGAGTCGTGTAGGTGTTTCTCTCCCCCCCTCCCTCCCCCCCCCCCCTCTCCACCTCTCCTGCAACGAGACAACTTCAATGGACGACTTGATACAGTCTTTTGACCATTTATGGTTTCCCTCATTTTTTATATCTTCATTTTTTAAAAGTTCTTTGAACCGTAACTGACCTCTTTTTCCCTGATTGGTTCGATACTCATTGCATTACATCACGTGTTCATCCTGATACTCTTAACACCAGGCTAGATGTAACATGTCATTTGCCTGCTCTCTAGTCTAGTCTGTCTTGTGATTGATTGTCCTTGTTTATTGTTTTTTGTTTTTGTTTTTTGTCTTTGCATGTTTGTGTTAACTCAGTGAGGTAACGTGCTAAGTAGATCTTCCCCTTTTTTATATATTTATATGAAATGCTTATTGCTTTCCTTTTGTTTACTTTGGGATAATGCATATACAGATATGTTTAAAATCACTATAGTATCCCCTAAAAAGACATTAACTTATCCGTTTTCTTTCTTCCAGTGAGGAGTACTATGGCGACCTCGACTTGAAGACTCTGCGTGGTCTCGGATTGTAAAATAGGATCTAGCTTGTAAAATTTTGCAACCTTTTAGACAGACAAACAAACAAAA